CAAGGCTGTGAACTAGCGGCGCCAGGCGACAAGCTTTCAGACTCTAACCTACCGCTAGTAGACAGGCTGTGCAAACTCCTTTTTAGGTCCGAATTTGGCAACAAAAATAAACACCACTAACGGCAATTTTACTCCTCTTTGTTTTCTTGTGTTGTTTTGACGTTTACAAAGCAAAATAGCTCAAATTCAGACTGTTAAAATCTTTCGGTGGTCAAATAGACCGTCGAGGCCTGCTGCGTCCTTTTATACGTCATGTAGTGTGCACGAAAAGTGTTCTAATCTGACAGGCGTTCCTTGGAAGCCAGGGACTGGTGCGAGTTTTTTTACTATTCATCGGACGGGAGTAACAAGAATCTTGCAAGCAGTAAGATACATATTCCGTTTTTTTTTTTCATGTGACAAGAAATTCATCAAGGTTAATGTGAAACCCACGTTTTACTGTTCACTTCTATAAGTTATGAGCATAAACACGTGTCTGATCTATCGATGCTTGTCTTCTGCTTCCGCGGTCATACGTTCGTGGTTTATTTACGAACTACAAAAGTCCACAACAATAGCGTTTTCAAGGAACTCACTCTACACTTTCTACTCCAGAAATCCCACCTGTGGAATTCCGCCATGCCTTCGGATTTCCAATCGTAAATACCCCCCATGCCCTCAGAATTCCATAATCGTGAACCCCCCCTCCCCTTCGGAAATCCTAAAAGCCGTCCGTGGTATGGTATGGATATTTTCTGGAATCGCCCATTGGCAGAAACTCAATTAGGGGATTAGCACTCTGGAACATACTTCGTTCTCCCAAACCTAAAACTATTTAAAGAGAAAGTTAAGAGAAACACAAGATTACTGGAGGCAAGTTATTTTCACACTTGCTTGTTTACTGACAAGAATGTCATTTTCATTCATTTTTGATAGTTTCTAATCCGACCATTACTGAGTTATGATACACAGCGCGTTACTGAATAAAGTGAAGTGTATCTCATATTCCTTAGATTTTAATATTGTATATATTCTTATGCTTAAAACAAAGCATTCGTAATTGCTATTGTTTTAATGTGTCATGCATTCCTTAGAGCTTAATTCTAAATATTCTTATGCTTATAGCAAAGCACTTTGACTGTAATTGATTGTTATATGAAGTTTTTAGTGTTAGGAGGCAGGTCCACATGCTGCCTACTCCAACCTGCGTTAACAAATAAAGCATGTGTGTATGTATGTATGTACGATTCATCCATTATGAAATGCGTTGCTAGAGGTTGGTGGCAATATAAATGCCATCATGCATTCACTATTAACGACATCCGACATGTATGTTTTGGTCGACTGTTGAGTCTTTTGAAAACTCACGAAAAATTAATAAGGTCAATCTGAAAAAAAAGATCTATTCAACGATTACCTCGTCAAGAGCCAGGGCCATTTGAGTTGAAAAAGACCAAAAACTTTGGCCATAAAATAACCTTTCATTTCTTCATTGTTGGCTAACAGGACAGTCGCCATCTTGAATGAAGAATGTAACCGGAAGTTTTATACGAAACGTAATTTCCCGGAAAGTGACCGGAAGTGCCGAAACAAAAAGAGAAAAACGCTTCAGTAAGCAAGTCTACATTTTCACCGTTTGATTGAAAGGAAAGAGCGTGCAAAATGCTTTCTTACAGATCAACAATCAATGGGCAAGACTTAAACACTATTCTGAATCGTTTTACTGACCAAAATGTGAAGCTCAGACAAAAGGAAAAATCAGACGCTTTAAGGTCGTGGCAGCCCATTGTAGATAGCATAGTTGATTTCGTGAGGCAACGAGACGCTCATCGTCTATGGCGTTCCATTTCCGCCAAAATTCAATGTTTCATTTTACATTCTACTTTGCACAATCTATCCTACACTTTGTGTTTGTCATTTGAGTTTGCACTCGCGATTCAACTTTCTTGCATTCAACATTCAACTTTGATTTATGCAACATTCAAGTTTTCGCTTTCGACATTCAACTTTTCATAAGCAACAGTCAGGTTTTGGAATTCTACCTTCAAGTTCAGTGGAATGTACATTCATTTTTTCTCATCCAACATTTAGCATTTGTCCTTTAAGTTTTCGCTTCCGACATCCGACTTTGAGCATTGCACTTGCAAGTTTCCGCATTCGACATTCAACTTTTCGACTTTGACTTTTACCCGCTGGTCAGCGACCGATTAAGATCGTGGGCTCAATTGACCTGACCTACCCCCGCTCAAATGGTGGTCGAGAGACTTCCCAGTCGAGTGGACTCGGGAGACCTTCTCCACTCCCGACAAACCAGACGTCGACAACAACATGGCCGATCGCCGGGATGCGGAACCGTCAGCTCCTAGCTTAAGTGAAGTGAGAGCCACCCTGTTGAGGGTGGCTGACCGTCTGTCCTCGTTGGAAGAGACACCATCTCCAAGTAAGTATCGGGCAATCTTTGTCAAGTATGAAGAAGTTATGTGTTCAATAAAGTTCGCGCGTAAGCGCCGACACAAGCTTACATGTACGCATAAATAGCGGCAGCATCATTTTGATCACTCCACGCGCGCTGCGTAATGGACGGCATCGATCGTAGAATGAAATATTTCCGAAAGGTTTTGCTTGCAATACTCTTGTCTTTATGTTTTTACTCATTTCTTTATTGTGTGAGAATTAAGGAATGAATTTTGATTTGTTGCCCAGCAATCAAGAATCGGTCTGCATAAAACGCCACAGGCACCCCAATCTCTGGCCTCCCATGCAGACTACACAAGCTCTTGTGTCTGAGCAATTCAAGTAATGTAAGCAATGGGTAATACAGAAAAAGCTACAGTGCTCGCACACCGTACATGTATTTATTTAATAATTATGTCAGAGCTCTCTGTAGTTAAATTTGTTTGGATTGGCTGTTGAGAAGGTTCTGCTTGAATATATTTATTATTATAATTTTTTTATTTTTAGACAGCACCAGAAAGGTACAACAGAATACAAATCCTTCTCCAGTTGCTTGTCTGTCTGCTTCTGTTGCTGCTGAACAGCGCAGGCTGTTTAGCCATGGAAACAATGCAAAACGAGCACGTTCTTCTGGCAGCTCTCTTCCAAAGTCCAAACGAAATGCTACATGTACTTTAAAGTTTGTGTGTCTAGCTGCCAAGGAAGAGGCAGACCGTCCACCAATGTCTGTGAAAGAAAGAACGGCACTGGCAAATGCTGGCTTGGGTGATGCTAGTATTACCTTTGGGTATAACAAGAGCTCTGTGTACAATGGAATCATCCAACGATTTCCTCAATTGAGTGAGGTTGGGGGTTTTGACCTGCTGTTGTTTCAGAGAGGTAATGGGGAGGGTGCAGGGTTCCACAGAATTCTTCCCCCACACACACCTCAAAGGCTGAAGGAGTTATGTGGCCAAGCAAAAATTTTCATACGACCTCTCCAAAAGGACATTGAACTTGATGACAAAGGTGGAGAAGATAAAGAAGATGTAAGTTGGATAGCAGAAATTAACAAGCTACAATAGTAGTTTCAGTGACTCTTTTCGCTTTATTTCTTGTTCAATTGGTTTTGTATTGTAATTAGCTGTGTTTTGGATTAATTAGGAGGAGAGCATTGTTGGTAATATTTATAATAAAACAAATTATTTGTTGAATTTACTGATGAGAGTATGTGTACATGTATGCTTATTTAAGTTAAATTTATAACCTTGTTCTTTTAACCTGCCCATGGGTTTGTTATATATATGTACAGTATATTAAATTCAGTCTGGAATATACATTATATCAAGCTTCATTATTTTCTTACTGTGAAAGTAGTGGATTTTTTGTAATATCAAATGGAAATGATGTTAAAGTTTAAGATGTAGGCGCTATAAGTTAAAATGAAATTCAGATTACAGTGGTTTCAGTCTTTGTATTTCTTTTCTTTTTTAATTTTATTTGTCTCATGTTCATAAACATTTTTCAGAACAAAGGAAATCCTAAAACAAACTGTAGCTGAAGAACATTTTGACATGATTTACATTGTTTATACGCTTCAATTATGTGTGTATTTTTAACTACTGCTTACATGTATGTTTGTTGATTTGCCTACCCTTCTAAATGATTATTTAGGTTGACAGTGATGTTCCTATGATTAACTGTTTTACCTGTGGTGCTGCTATTATCATGACGGATATGCAGGAGCACCAGGAGACTCACCAGCAAGGAGAGACCAAGCAGCCTGAAGATGACTTTGAATTCAGTGCTGGTCAGTACATTAAGCTTGCTGAGTATCATGATCCATACTCTTTGTATCTTATTTATGTCATAAATAATGTGCAAATGTAACTAGGGCTTGAAAGTACAATTCAGTGAATACTTGAACAGCTGAAGAACTTTCTTCTTTGTGATATGACGTTATGAAAACTTTAAATTACAATCATGTTTAACTGAGGAGAAAGCCTCTTCAAATCTTACATCACAAAGTTCACCTCCTTCCTGGGGGGAGGGGAGGATACTTTAGGAATTTCTGGGTAGGGATGTGCTACTGGGACCCTGGGACCCTTAGCCTATACCAGAGCTAGTTCAGCTGAATTTTGCTACTCTATTCTAGACTACTATCCTATAGTAGTTTTGTAGGCTGAGTTTTGTAAAGTTAAACGTGCTGATTTGATTTTTTATATATTTTTGAGTGTCAATTCCCAGTTTCTCTATTGTAGACTAAAACTTTCAACCAATTCCTGGAAAATAATACCCTATTCTAGACCCAAACTCTCTGATTGATATACCCTATCCCAGAGTAAACTGCTTAAAAACCATTACCCTTTACAGTGGCACATACTTATTTGTGGCAAACATACATGCCAGTACCACCCCCAGGACCTCCTCCCTTAGTGGATGTATTTTCTGTTATCTTATATTTGAAGTAGAGTGCTGTAAATCAAAGGAACTCAAAACCCACTCAGTAACATTATGTTTTTTATAGACAATGACAGTAACTGGGAACCTCCCCCAATGCTCCAGCCTTCTCAGTCACAGAAGCAGCAGCAGGATGAAGGTGTGTATTGCAAGGGGACAAGATCCAGCAGAGTAGTATTCATCATAACTTCATAAGGCGTGTCATAATAAAGCTTTCCCTGTATTGGAAGTAAATTACAAGGATCATATGGCATGCCATTGGTGCCAAAATTATGATGCAAATTTTTAATATAAAATTTGTTTTTTCACATTTTTTTCCTATTTTGGGGTACACATTGTCTTTTAGTTTGCACAGACTTCCTTTTTGGGTTGATTTTTCTTTATTAGACTTGACATTGGGTTGGTATAGTTTTCAGTTTTGGTCAGCTTTTTATAATGTGTAGACTTTTCATTCGGGTGAACTTTTCATTGTCATTGCATCAATTCAAGTCACGCAATACTGGTGACATCTCCTAAGGGATCATGGGAAATGCATTTCCTGTGCTGCCAGTCTGTTGTTTATGCACTGCCATAAAAAAATAGCAGGGCAGACTGTGCATACCTACCCTCCCAACCATGGGGTAAAACATTGACAGCCACCACATTTTTTGGGGGATCATTTAAATCAATCTAGAAATGGGGTGAAATTCAACTCCCTGCAGAAAAATGAAGAATGAACATCTTTCAGCTGGAACCAACAAGTAAAAACAGCCAAAGGTATATTAAATATACCTTTGGCTATTACTAACCTTGTCTGTTAGATGTTAAATTATGCAACACACAAATTTTCATTATGTAACATTACTTTACTTGTGACTGTCTCTGCATAGCTGTTCAGTCTTCAATAAAATTGCCTTTATTGAGTGACAATACTGGTGACATCTCCTAAGGGATCATGGGAAATGCATTTCCTGTGCTGCCAGTCTGTTGTTTATGCACTGCCATAAAAAAATAGCAGGGCAGACTGTGCATACCTACCCTCCCAACCATGGGGTAAAACATTGACAGCCACCACATTTTTTGGGGGATCATTTAAATCAATCTAGAAATGGGGTGAAATTCAACTCCCTGCAGAAAAATGAAGAATGAACATCTTTCAGCTGGAACCAACAAGTAAAAACAGCCAAAGGTATATTAAATATACCTTTGGCTATTACTAACCTTGTCTGTTAGATGTTAAATTATGCAACACACAAATTTTCATTATGTAACATTACTTTACTTGTGACTGTCTCTGCATAGCTGTTCAGTCTTCAATAAAATTGCCTTTATTGAGTTATTTTTATTACTTTGTGAAAAGGCAAAGAAATAAGCATTACATGATATATTCAGTTTATTCAGCAGCAGCCTGACTTCAAGGTCGTGAATACTCTGAGCCACAAAAAGAGAGGGGGGGTTGTGCATTGGCTAATAGCAATTTACATGTATTATTGTGGTTGTGACATAACCTGCATTTGCACTGCTATTTAAAATAATGCTAGTACATATTAAGATTTCGTTTGTTATTGCAGGTGAAGTACCATTACACATAGATGACAATGGAGAAGAACCACAGCCTGGTCCATCTAGACAAACAACAGAGGAGGAAACCCTGCAACAACTAATGGAGATGTTTCCGGACAAAAGTCGAGATGACTTGGTGCGAGCCCTCAGTCTACACGGGACTGTTGGTGCTGTGGCTCTTTCTCTTTCCAGTAATTTACCTGAAGATGATTTTAGCAGTGATGATGACAGCCTGTTACAGCCTTCTTTCCCCCCTTCAAAAGAGAAAATAGATTCCTTGCAGTCATTGTTAAAGGAGCTTGGGAAGAATATGAGTGAAGAGAGAGTAAAAGTAAAAATTGAGGAGGAGGACATACTGAACGATGCATTGGCCCATGACAAAAGTCCTGAGTTTGATGTTAAGAAGAAGCTAAGAATCCAGTTTAAAGGCCAACCAGCAGTGGACACAGGTGGTGTTACAAGAGAATTTTACACAAAGTTGTTCCAAGTCATTTGCAAGATGTTCTTTCAAGGCTGCTAATACAAGAGTCCTGTGTACAGTGCAGATATTGTAGCCTCCGGACTAATGCGATACTTTGGCACCATGATTGTTCACAGTATTATTTTACAAGGTGGCCCAGGCTTCCCAGTGTTGAGTCCTTCAGTATACTGTTACATTGCTTCTGGTAATATTGATGCAGCAATGGCCAAGATGAATTATGGAGATTGTTCAGAGCCTGTTAAGCATTTCATTGACAAGGTACAAACTGGACATTTGAGTGCATTCTAAAATTACTGACTGAAAGGGAGCTTGTAATCAATTGAGTAGAATACAGTACTTTGATTGTGACTGGAACATCTTTCAATTCACCTATGAGTATACAATCACTACAATGTCAAGTAACATCATAATCATGACCATGGCATTACAGTTCTGTTTGTAAAAATTATCTCAAATTTGTGCCTACTTCTTACTATTGCTTCTAATAACATATGCAAATATGCATTACAGATGAAATATACATGTAATGATGATATTGCCAACAATCAGCACACAATAGCAATAAAATTACTATGTTTATTTACAGAACAAAGTTTACAGTCAACTTAATTGAAAACCACTCACATCAGATTTTATTTTTTTATCAATACTAGGTTGCACAAGCTGAAGATGTGTGTAGTCTTGACAAAGAAGAATGCTCAAGTATGTTGTCTGAGTGTGGCCTTGCTGTTGCATTAACAGTAAGTTTGAATTGACTAGCATTGTTGCTTACTGTGAGAACGACCATTTAACTAGAATACACTGAAGGTGTCATTCATCTGTTCAGTAGTTTGCTTGAGTCAGTCAGTCAGTCACACTCCTACAGTCAGTCATTCACTCACTCATTTGCTGACTCACGTATTCATTCATTCTAGAACGACAGCAAGATGAGGGTTATTCAGGGGATCATTATACATGATGTAATTGGCCGCCCTAAGATTATTCTTGACCAGTTGGCGGAGGGTTTAAACACACTTGGATTTCGAGCTGCTATGAAAGAATACCCTGAGTTCCTTGAGGCTCTCTTTATCCCCAGCAAGGAAGAGTTGAATGCAGATTCTGTCATTGGCGTGCTTCAGTTCCCTAAAGATATGGATGACAATGAAAGTGTAGTAGCAGGTTACATTCACATGTTTATACAGAATGCAAAGGTTGACACACTGGAAAAATTTCTCTCTTTTGCCACGGGTTCAAAGGCTCTTCCCGATTTTGGCCTGGGAAAAATTCAAGTAAAGTTTGATAGGGTACCGGCTATCTTTGCATCAACATGTTTGTTTCACATTACATTTCCAAATCAATTCGAAGACCAAGATAGCTTAAGTTTGTCACTAGAGGCAGTCATAAATACTACCACAGGACAGTCATTTAACTGTGTGTAACTACAAAGTTCAGAAGTTATTAGACTTCCTTGTTATCATGCATTTTCTCTATACTCTCAAATTGTATTTTGCTCTGACTACAAGTTGAGTTAATTTTTTTGGACATCAATTTACAACTCCCTGTAAGTGATGAGTTTACATTGTTAAAGTTACATCTTGTTGTATACATTGTTGACATTTCGAGTTTCTTGTTAGTAACAAGTCAAGGCTATTTGCTCACTAATATTTTCTGCTGTTACTGTTGCTGTTGCTAAGGAGAGTTTCTAAACATCCATACAGAAAACCATCAAATCCACAAAATGGACTTGCACACACCTACACATGAAGGAAGATCAATACATGGTTATATTTGCACAAACAATTCATGTTTTTCTTTTCATGTCTTTTAGAAGCCTAAAATGATTATTTCACAATCCAGGGTCAAGCATGGTTTTAATGCAAAGCACAATGTAATAAATATTTTACCTCATACATGTATGAAAACCCCTTAGCAACAACTCCAGATCGGTATATGTAGTGAAGTTTGTCCCCCTATAACAATGAAGTGTTCCTTAAAATGAAAGATGGATCCTTTAATGACAACTTGTTCCAACAAAGGATAGTCCTCATACACTGTAATTACGTTAATGATTCGAAAGGTTGAAACCAAAAGACCTATTTGGAAGGTATGTGTTTTTATTTGAACAACACAGTCACTGTAGTATTTCTGGACAAATAATAATTATCACAGTTAGTTGCAATTTATTGTTCCAGTTCTGAACATGTAAGATTACATGTCAAAAGATTAAAAGTAGGTTGAAAAAATTATTGTTAGTTTAAATAAATATATGACTTGTTTGTTTTTTGTTTGTCCTTTAGCGTTACTTGACTGACTCTTGAGGGTGTTTCTTATTACAGTAAGTTGGTGATTTGGTTGAATACTTCAACCCCCTCTAAATATGTTAAATTGTCTGTTACAGGTAGGAGATGCATTTCCTCCTCAGTGAATGGGCAGTTTGTGTCCGGAACTTCAACATAATCAGGGCATTGTTCTGGGACGGGACCTTGCCAATCAATCCCATAGTTGCTATAATCGCCCTAAAAAAAAAAGGATTATTGTAAGCAATTTGTTACATATGTGCTGCCAAAGCATTAACCCCCAATTTCTTGCAATGCTGGCCTGAGGATAGAGATTGGTGATCATAATTTTTAGTTATTACATTTGACACAAGTAATGCTGATTAAATGAAACCAAACATGTTACATACCTGGAACACTTCACCTTCAGGACCAAGAGATCCCCATGCCTCTTGCAGTCCACTAATCCATAACTGCATGGGCGTTCTGTTTCTTTCTGTACGTAATGGATGGTGAACCCATGCGTCTTTCCAATTACTCAGATGTCTGTTGATGATAGGCACGAACACGTAATGTAGGCACCAGAGGTGACAATCATCATCTGCATTTAACACATCCTGGTTTTCTAGGGTATAGAAGAGTTCATAGAAGAGGCTAAGGCAGCCCCCATATAAGTCTCTCCAAAGTCGTTCAATCCTTTGATTGTGTGTGCTCTTTCCTAGTGATTGCAAAGAATATAATTTTATAGATTAATAAAATTTTAGTTTACTTCATTATCTGTTAAACATTATCTAACAATTGGTGTCAAATACTCCCCCCCGCCCCCGCTTAAAAAAAAAGGAAAGAAAAGGAGAAAAGAAAGAATTGTTTAATAGTCTCTTGATTCCTTCCGGGCTTAATAGTTTCTTCAATTACCATCATACTTAAAACTAGTCACAACCGGATTTGGGAGCATGGCAATCACCATGCTCATTCTTAACAACACACACAAGCATTCATGAAAACAGTTCCCCTTAAACTAATTTAATGAAACTTGTGAGTTATTAATAGTAATATAATACTATTCATACAGCATCATTTCTCCTTGCCTAGAAATCCTCAAGATTAGTTCATGATCCCATAAGTACCTATTTCATTATATAAAATGTAGCATCCTTTGTTAAAACCTATTCAGGATCTTAAAGTATAGCCTGAATTCAAGATCCCATCTATTACAAACCCAGGAAAGGTCATCTAGCTAAGGAAAGATAGATTACAAGTAGTCCCCATTTTTCTTAACGGATAGTAGATTGAGTGAAACCGTGCATCATAAAAATCATCCCACGCGAGAAAGGAGAGACGCGGCGGGGAGATGCGCTCTACTATCCCTGAGGAAAAATGGGGACTGCTCATAGTCTAACCAAAGGAATAATGATTCAGTACTCTGTACCTGTTATCATACTTCCCCTGCCTGGCCCTCGCTGGATGTGAGTATAATAAGCATATAGGTTGCTACATCTGTGTTCTCCCCTCCTTTCTCAGAGCAGACCCGAGATGGAACGCCATACTCTGATACAGCTTCACGAAAGCATGGAAGAAGAGTGCTTGCATGCTTTGTTGTCATTTGAGGCCTTCTAATAGACTGGGATTCGAGAAAAGCCATCAATTCCTCCATGGATAACAATTCTCCATCTGCTAAAAAAAACCTTAAATTTACAAACAAGAATGACATTTAACAAGAAATAAAAGCTCCCATAAGGGCAACCTTAAGCATGTCTGGATTTACCAGCAAGGGGTTAAAAAAAGATGAGGAAAGGGAAACAGTTATCCATCATGATCAATGTATAATGTCTTAAATTCTAGTTAAAACACAGTTTAAAAAGTCTTGCACTGGTGTTGTGGCCACAGTTTAGTGTTTTCTTTTGGTTCATTCAAGGTGTGTATGTTTACAGGAGGTATCCAGTAGCAGAATTTTGATTGTGTTTAACTTGGACCCACGCACAAGATCACGGGGGGAAACTATGACAATGTACACTGTACAACAGGTATCTTTATCAGTACCTTATCAGCTTATGGTTCCCATCTATGTGCCATAGTGAGAGTGGATACCTAACATTGTAATGTCGCCTCCTAGTGGTACTTCTCCATCTCTCCACAATACCAATGGGATCTGTTCGCAACAGGGATAATCTTATTCTTTCTCGCTGAATGCGAAACCCTTTGCTTTGTAAATAACCTTTGAGCATTCTTATACCCATTCCAGGATGCTGGCTTGAAGCAATTTGAACGAGCTCATCCAGTTGGTTGTCTTCTATATCACTGAACATACCTGAACCAAAGCAATATAATGGGGTAAAAAATTTTCATTGTAGGTGTTGGGTAATGAATAGTAATAATGATGATGGTGATGATGATGATGATGATAATAATAATAATAACAATAATAATAATAACTTTATTTTAGTATGATTTTGTCATAAATCTCAAGCTAGGTAGAATGGTGAACAAAATTTTAGTTCAAACACTTCTGTGTGTTTTACTAATACTGGGCATCCAGATATGTAAAACTGCCATAATAATTTAATAACATTCTTCAGGCCTGAGGCTACACTTGACATTGTAACTTTTTCTCAGTCAAGCTACCCCTGAAGTGTGAAAGGTCAACAACAATAAAGATAATGATGGTATAAGGAAAAATCTATCATTTATGGGAGTGGATCCCTAGGTAAAAGTAAGTGGAAGTCAACATTTTAATTTGCAAAATCTTAATCACCACTGCTTGGTGCAACAACTATCAACATTACTTTTTTATAGCCTTAATCCTGTACTAAATATTATCACTTTGTTATAAAAATTGTCCTTGTAGTAGTTTATCATCTCATTAGACAAAAATAAAAGATTCACGTTACTTTATACCTGATACACTCAACCCAAATGTTGACATCCTCCTCTCAACTGTCCTGGCACTCACTCCAAGGATTTTACTTATGTCACATACTTTAAACCCTTGCTCAAGTAAAAAATGAAGCTGTTCCTCGCTGATTTCATATGAAGGTCTCCCTCGTTGCCCTCCACTATTCAATGGAGCTTGATATGCATAGTTAACAAGGTTTCTTTGATCAATTTCAACCAACATCCTGTAAGCATGTCCAATCAATTCTGTGACTAGTTCATCCACATCGAGGCCGACAGCTATTCTTTGCAGAAAATCCAACTTGAAAACTATTGGTTGGAAATCTACTGATGGATCTGCAGACCCTGTAAATCTGTCTATAGCACTGATGATATCCAAGACAGCTAAATTTAAATAGGCTTTGTCATCAGACATCTGCGGGATCAAATATTTGAGTAATCTCAAGATGAAACAAATTGATCAATTAACAGCGCTTATCGCATGAGAATACAATTTCTGGGGGAATATTTAAGCTACTTCTACATGAGAAATTTCTGCAATTTGATTGGCTTAGAGCAGTGGTATTTCAGCTTAAGCTTAATTTGAAATACTTACATATGAAAATTACAACACCTTTGCAGGTAGTAGTATAAACAAATAATAGCATGATGTGTACGTGATTTTTGGTATAAATACTACTTGTGACATTTCAAAATTGTCTTAAATTTCACTCGTGAAATTTCAAATATCACTCGTAGTATTTATGCTAAATATCACTACAAAAAACATGCTTTACCTTTTCAAATTAAGCTGAAGGGATGCAAACAGGTAGCGCGTTGCCTCCCTGTTTGTGTCACGTATAGTGTCCCACTAAAGAAGGCAGAAGTCGGTTGGACAACACTCACCTCCCTCGAAGACTGTGCAGCATACTGGCGATCGGCCATGTTGTTGTCGACGTCTGGTTTGTCGGGAGTGGAGAAGGTCTCCCGAGTCCACTCGACTGGGAAGTCTCTCGACCACCATTTGAGCGGGGTAGGTCAGGTCAATTGAGCCCACGATCTTAATCGGTCGCTGACCAGCGGGTAAAAGTCAAAGTCGAAAAGTTGAATGTCGAATGCGGAAACTTGCAAGTGCAATGCTCAAAGTCGGATGTCGGAAGCGAAAACTTAAAGGACAAATGCTAAATGTTGGATGAGAAAAAATGAATGTACATTCCACTGAACTTGAAGGTAGAATTCCAAAACCTGACTGTTGCTTATGAAAAGTTGAATGTCGAAAGCGAAAACTTGAATGTTGCATAAATCAAAGTTGAATGTTGAATGCAAGAAAGTTGAATCGCGAGTGCAAACTCAAATGACAAACACAAAGTGTAGGATAGATTGTGCAAAGTAGAATGTAAAATGAAACATTGAATTTTGGCGGAAATGGAACGCCATAATCGTCGGTTCGTCAAACTAAAAATTCTTCCTACTGGAAGTTATTATGAAAGGGCCAAAGTTGGCGAGCCAGACGAGTTCGATTTCATGTTGGAAATAGAGAACTTGGAACTCGACGCTGCACCTTATGAAGAGTACGAAAACGACGGTATGAGCGAACCGCCAACAGGTAAGGTTCTCAATAAAGTAAAAATCCGCATATAAGAACCTAGATTTTTCCAACTTGGCCTAAACGGTTTCTTATAGAAATGGTATTTAGTGGGATTTTAGGCTTCTTAGGTTCTTTAATAGGTTCTTAATTTGATACGGGCACTAGCGATCAGCACAGATAATAGTACAGGGCAGAGTGTGATATGGAATATAATGCTTTACATAATAAATAATGATCTAGAAAACAGTTTAGATAATCTTACAGTAAACTTATCTTTCCAAAGTACTAGCATGTATCAGATGTATGTCTTTGATGCTGCAGTGTCCATAAAATGCTGTGTTACATATTTTATTCTTGAATCTTACTGACTGAAGCCTAGACTAAATTTTTTCTGTATTATTTTAAGTTCGTCCGTGCCTTCATTGTTGTAAAATAAGGACCTATTGGAAATTTTAGGCTAAATAGGTTCTTATGAAAAGGGGGTTTAAAATGAAAATTTTAGCCTAACAGGTTCTTAAATTTTAGGTTCTTATACGCGGTTTTTACTGTACGTTCAAAGTGATCACATAATTATTACTCGAGTACTTTGGGATGGTTTTTGATTGCTTTATTTTATTGTTAAATACAGCCAACGACGACATCAAAGTTCTTGTTAGAAAAAACTGTTACAGTAATATTAATTCTCGTATTTAAGCTAAATGATAACTCGGTTCTGAAAATAGCAGGGGCGCAGCAACCTGCACGCATGGTACGCACGTGCGTATAGTCGAGGGTAAGAAATAATAAAATATGATATCAACTAATATACACAATGCTGAGAGTCTCCTGGTTGAAAATTATTAGTTAAAAAGCGGCGTGATTCATCGATGCGCTGAATCTTGAATAAAGTACTCATAGAAAAGACGGGGAAAAGTTTTATTTGCTCTGCAACGAGGTTTTACCTGTTACCATCTTCTATTATCATTTTTTGAAAGAAAAGGCACCCGTTTTGTGTACCTCACATTAACAAAATGTACCCCTTTCACACACCTACTTAAGACTCTGCAGCTTTTTTTCTACATCCTTGTATTGAAGTTAATCCAGTACATTATGAAAGAACCAACACGTTAGAAGGTGCATCTGTTCAAATTTATCATCTTAATAATAGGTCCTTTTAAAGACCAAAATGACAGATTTCCATACCCTTTAAATACTTCAACCCACGAAACCCTTTTATATACCTGAAGCGTGAAACGTTAAGTCTCTTTCGGAAATGCCTTGTTAATATCGGCCATTATAGAGAGTATAACCCCCAAGGGACTGATGATACACCACTGTTGTATTTGGAAACCCTTTTACTTCCAAATACCGGTAGCAAATGAACAGTATGTGCACCCTCAGATTTGAACTTGTTTAAAGCGTTAGCCCGCATTCGCATTACGCAATGCCAGAATTCACTTTCACCTTCCCTTTCAAACATCTGCCATGCACAATTAGTGACGTAATTGTTGAGACATAATATCCTCAACTGGCTGCTTTGGAGAACTAAACAATCTGCACCCTTGCCCTCTTCCCTCAGTTCCAAGTTGGAGAGTTTGATGATTTTTAATTACCGTTGTACCGAGTAGTGCAAAATTGCTTCTAGAGAGTGGGGAAGGAAAGCTTTACTTTCCCCTTTGAAGTCGGCAAAATGTAATAATGCTCAAAGGCAAAGTGTGTTAACTAATTTTGTGTTCCCAACTGCAAGCTAAGAAACTGTCAGTGACAATGTCACCTACTTTCAGTGCTTTTTTTTGTCGGCAGGATTTACTAGAGTAATGATCGATAGGGGCGAGGAAGAGCTATGGCAGCGGGAAGGGTGCGCCAACTCCCGAGGAATGTTAAAAGCAACCCAGATTAAAGCAGTGTTTGCAAGAATTGTTAGAGAAGCTGTTTCCTACCTGGGATATCAAAGGTACCACTCCATAAGCAAAGATTTTGTATTATCTGGGAAAATACACGTATCGATAAGCTGTAAACATCATTCAACTCTAAATTAGAGGGCTTGAATTAACAAACATTATTACCAGTGCCATATCACAGGGAAGGGTTGATTCACATTCACCAGCCCAGACAAGTGGAAACTGAAGTGTACAGGTAAGTAAGGGACGAAATCACTGCCGCTAAACACTAGCTTCAACAGAATGCAAAAGTTGTCACTTTAACTGAGTGCACAATTTAGGGCCTTTCTACCAAAGACTTAAAGGATTTCGATTAATTCTGGGTCCCTTTTTTAATCCCCTTCCCTCCCACCCAACGCACAAAACACTCACAGGAGTTAACAAATGTATTGAATCATTAGCCTTCAAATTCCAGTTTAAGATTACACACTCACAGAGCAATAGTAGACACAGTTGAGACCTACATTGTACCAACAAGGTTATTATTAATATTCGACATGAAGCAAAAATAGATTTCAAATCATTGTGTAGCCAGAATGGAAGAAGCAATACTGCATCACGAAATTCAGCCAAATTAGGAAATTACAAAATGCCAGTTAAATTAGGAGAAACATAAAAATAACCGCTTAAAACTTTAAAGGAAGGTGAAAATACCATAACAGAAAAAACAGATGCCACGGATGGGCAAAACTGAAGAAGATTGAAATTAGGGTTTTTGAAAACTGTTCAGCCTAACAGTTTTTCAAAGTTGATCCCTGCTGCTTGCAACTTCACAAATAATGCTCAGGAGACATATTAATTTTGTGTTGTCTCGGATCTCTGGTTTTGTCATTTACCTCTAATTTCTTTGCTTACTTTAAGTTCCATAGCGATTGAGGGTGAGTAATTGTCAAAATTAAACAAAATGAACTTGACTGCCGTGACACAGCCCCTTCAATAGGCTCAGTTTTCAAGTGTCATGCATGGCAATGTCATGATGGTGAACATAATTATGTTGGGGTAAAAAAGGGGTCAAGGGGAACAAATTATTTTTCATAATGTGACTAGCCTGTGCTTTTTCAACCTTTTGAATGGAACTTGGCCCCAGTCTATTATTTTTTTGTCCAATAATGTTAAAGAGCTTACATCACCATTGTTTTTAATTAGTGAGTACAATGTATAAATTCATAAATTGTACTCACTATCTGTCTTATCACTGGCTGAGAGCCTACAGCTAATTTTGGAAATCGGTGCAACCTACAGAATAGATAACTGGCTAATCTGTAGGTTGCACGCACAGTGCATGATTTCCTATAACAATATCAGTTCAGGTTCCTTGGGACGGTGTGTTTGTCATTATTTTCTTCAAAACAATGTATAATAAAACAATCATTAGATTCAGTTCTTATGATATCCTAAATAATCAAGGACTTGGTAAGTGTTATCAGCCTTGGCCTTCGGCTCGGCTGACAACACTTACCTCGACCTTGATTATTCTGGATATCACCTCATCCAATAACAATTATTATTGTATATAATAATTGTTGATAATTTATTGTTTATAATTATGTAATTATGTTTAATTAAGGGCTCCAAAATTTTATATGTACATGTAAATAAAAAGAGTTAAACCTACACTGCAGTGTGCAAAGAAAGTAGTGTCCGATAGCCAGGGGCTAGTGGATTTTGCTATTGGGTTAGTGAATTCTGTTTTTAACTTGCCTGACGGGCAAGTGATGTTTTTTGAGGAATTCGAATAACAGAAGAACTGTGAAATCAATTCTGCTATGACGTCTGGGCTATAGTAAATGCTAGCTTCAGCTTGCCCAAATGGCAAGCTGTAAAAATGATTTTCTTTGCACCCTGCGACTGTAACATGTAGATGTAACATAATAGTAATAATTTATTACATTAGGCTCTTCTCTTTCCAATCTTTAGCTTTGTTGTTGTTAAGTCAGAAGGTCCTGCAGTGACCTTGAAAATTACCAGGAATGGGAAAGAATACTCCATTGATCTAACCCTTGCCATAAAGGATAACTCTTGGCCAGAAGATGCTGAGGAATGGAGGACAAGACATCGAAATGGTATTTTTTTTACTGCACTCTTGTTCCCTAAACAGAAACTTCCAACTGAACCTAGTACATTACACAGGTATCTTGTAATGCTGACACTGTTCAGCTGTTGTTTTACGTACAGTGTATGACTAGCTACATTATTGTTGGTGCATCTGAACTATTATGTCCAATGTGATCTTTCTACACACATTTATCATTTTGTGTTTTCATTGCATTTATTTAGGTTGGCCCAGTCATGACCTTGTGCGTGAAATTTGTCAAGATGGTTGTCACTTGGTGGCAAAACAACCAAAAGGGATTACTGGTCCCAATAACGAAAAAGGATTTCTCTGGAGATTTTCTTTTTCAACAGCGGAAAAGAAGCTGTTTCTCAGAGGGGGCCATGGAGAAGCTAGCTCTTGCCGAAAGCAAGTATTGCGTATACTGAAGGCACTAAAAGAAGAATTAAGCCTTCATCCACTGAAGTCGTACCACCTTAAAACTTTGCTGTTATATGAGTGTGAAGCCTATCCTCACTCCTGGGAGTGGAGCTTTGGTTGCTTAAGTGAGAGATTCCTTGGCCTTCTATTTAAGCTTGAGGGATGTTTGAGACAGAAAAAGTGTCCTCACTACTTTATCAGAAATTTCAACTTGCTTGAGCCATTCTCTAACGAAAGATGTCTTTATTTGGCTGAACGCATAAAGCAGATTAGACAAGATCCTAAAACAGTCTTGAGCAATCTTATTGGACAGCATTAAATAAATAGGTCGGATAAATGTAGCATGGAGCATGTTGTAATGACAAAGAACTTAAAGAGATATGTAGCTGCTAGACGGATTATTGTCCTAAACAATCTGCAGTATTAGTTCTGTGATGTAAGTAATATAATTACATCACCTCTGTTGCTTTAACACATACTTTAATTTACACTATTGATTTTATCTCTTTGCTGCAAATGGCTATAATTTACAGCACACAATAACTGTAAAAATTGAATGAATTTGTTAATAAATTAACAACGTTCACTGGCAATAGGGATTTGAAAAGAACAGATACCTGTTTGCCTGTCTAACATACATGTACAGCTGTACTGGCACGTGATGTTGACTTGGCCAGAAGAAGGAAAAGGTCTGAACTGCTTCGTAAAGAAGAATTAAATTTAATGTCAGCAGTTTAGTAAAAGTGATAACATTAAATAATTCAGCAATAAACTACTTGTTTGCGAGGTCCTCTCCAATCAAAGTAAAATCTGGTGGTGTATGTCTTTGGAATATGAACATGTTTGCTTACTTTAGGCTGTGGGAACACCTCCTTCCTAATCTGACTCATCGGCATACCCTGTTCCTTACACTTGAGTACTTCTAACATAAGCTTCTTCAGTTCTATAGCTGTTCTTGAGTGTAGCCACTTGTCTTTAGTGTTCATAATGTAGTTGTCAAATCCTCCTGCCTTGTCAATACATCTTAGTGCATGCGTACTGAATTCAAATCTCATTGTTTGTTCCAGTATTTGACTGTAATATTTCTTTTTGACAACATTTGGCTTCCAAACCCGCTTGGTTCTGTGGAAAGAAGGCAATTGTGTGTAAGCAAAATGAATCCAGATCAGTTTTAAGCTTATTGAAGCTTTCAGATGACATGTGATGGAACATGCTTGGAAAGATATAAAAAATCATATTAAAACTATGGACAATTAACTTAATTTATATTGATTTATAGCCTTTGCAATCACATTTTGTTTGCCTGCAATAGCTCTCCTAAAATGTTTATTCTGTCCAACACTGTGACGTAACATTACAGTCATTTACCAGCTGGCCACTATTGCTAAACATATGAGAGGCCTTATGAGTCTTTGACCCCAAAAAGGACAATTTGTGATTTAATTTTGCTGCCTTTTTTCGTGTTGTTCCCATTCAGAGCTTTTGCAAAGGATAACTTACAAGGGCAAAGGACATCCTTGGAACAGAAAGTAAAGAGACTCATGTTTTTTTTTTAAGGGAAGGTTGAGTTTCTTCATGCATGTAATGGTCATCTGCAGAACACCCACTTAGTAGCAAAGGGACAAACAGTCAATACAGTGTAAACTGTACAGGTGTAGGTTCCCCCGTGTAGGTAACCCCCCCTACCCCCAGCAGCCCTCAAGGACGAACTTTACAATCATACATGTTTATAAAATAGCTAGGATAGTACGCGCACTCTGATTGGCTGAGAGGCGTGTTTGCATGAGAGTATGTAAACATGGTTGTGGCATCAAGATGTTTTGCTTTTTGCGTGCTAATCACGCAAGCACGAATTTGAAAAGGTTTTTTAGTTCAAAACTCAACAAGTTTACTTTTTTTACCCATTCGTTCATCGGCTGAAACTTGGAAAATCGCTACAAAGAAGGTGTGTCAATTTTTCTTCCCCTAAGCTGACATTTTAACCGAGAAAAATCTGTATTTTGGAAAGCATCTTTGTGCAAAACAAGAACTGATTACGCGAGCAAGACTTCGTGGACAAGACTTTGCGACTGGTAAGAGTTTCTCTTTTAATCAGTGCCATACAAAGAGTTTTGGGTTTTTCTCGGGAAAGTTATTTTATAAAAGCAATAGAAAACTTTTTTCCTGTGTTTGCATAGCCTGATATAAACACTCGAGGTGTTGGGAGAATTCTCGACAGTTATGCAAACCCTCGACTTCATCTCGGGTTTGCATAACTGTCTTGAATTCTCCCAACCCCTCTCGTGTTTATATCAGGCTATGTAAACACGGAAATAGTTTTCTGTTGCTTAAATAGTGTATGCTACAGCTGTACATTATAGCATCACCTTATTATCAATCAGATGAAATTAACCTTTTTTTCTCATATGTCAAACTACTACACATGTAGCAATTCATACATGCTGGAAAGAATAATATTGGAATCTTCCCTCGGTACTGTTGCGTGCCTTTTTTGTCCCCTGTTAGTTTTGACTGGATTGGTAGCCATCCAAAGTATAGTTTTTTCCTCCCTTTTTAACCATAATATCATTATATAACAGAAGGACAAAAAAGTAGAATTACACAGTCGATATAAGGGCATGTCTCAGTCTATACCAGGCAGGCCCATAGCCCCCAGTCCCCTCCCCCTTTATTTATTGGACACTTTTAATATTTCAACAGCTGCCATTTTAGTTCTCCTGGAGTGGCTACTCACTTTGTTTTACCATTTATTAGATGCATGTGGGTAAGGCAGGATAACCACCAGAGGGTCAGAGCTTACGTCAAGTTTCAAAGGGCAGCCAGCTTCATATGTCTAACCTACTATGAGTGTTCTGAATGTTTCTACAAGTGACAGTGTTTCTGCAAGTGCTTCAAGCCTCTCAAAAGTGGCAGGTGTTTGCGATAGCAGGTGGGAGTAAAAATCCTTACTAGACTGGTTAAAGGCTTCATGGCGTGTTGAAATATGATGTAACATGACTTCAGAAATTGTCTGGTTACATGACTCATTGCTTGTAGGAGTGAGTCTTGGATTGGTTCTGGATATTTTGTTAGCTAGTTAAAATTGCTCTTGGGCCAGCACATGCTACCTAAGAGAAAGGTATTATAAAAACTGACTTTCTTTGCACCTTGTGTATGCATCAATGTATGGTTACTGTCAGCGGAAGAATTTATTCACTGCATGGATTTGTGGTTTGTTAATTTTGTGGGTAATTTGCTCAATTTTTTTAATGCCCTACAGTGGGGTTGCTGTATGGACCTGCTGCCCCCTCCATGGGGCATTAGCAGCTTTCTAAAGAAGAAAAAAGCCCAACAGATGGCCAGAGAGTGGTGGGAAATGTCGTGCCTGGAATAAAATGAATGATAAAGGTGGTCCCTGCTCATCATCAGCGTGCAAAGAAAGTGGTGTCTGATAGCCCGGGGCTAGTGGATTTTGCTATCGGGCTAGTGAATTCTGTTTTTAACTTGCCCGCCACGCAAGTGATGGTTTTTGAGGAATTTCAATAACAGAAGAAGTGTTAAATCAATTCTGCTTAACAAAAAGCTTTTGGGCTAGTTGAAATGACATCTGGGCTAGTAAATGCTAGCTTCAGCTTACCCGAATGGCAAGCTGCAAAAATGATTTTCTTTGCACCCTGAGTCATTCTTTTTTTTTCTTTCTCTATAGAGCGAACACCTCACCAAGACAAATATTTGGTACCGGTTCCAAGAGTATCTGTTTTTGAGAGGATTTGCTAGTTACTGTTACTTCCAAACTTGGGGAACATGAACTGCTTCAAATAAAAAATGTTAATGTTGGTGCAGTTGTTGCTGACATTTATGTCTAATTTAGATCCTCGAAAGTATCTTAAGGAATAAATTTGAAAGACAGTAATAACTTTACAAAGTTATATATTTACGTTCAACAATTAAATTCTTTCACATTAAAATCAACATTAAGCTTACTTTTTTTCAGAAAATGTGCTCACATGGCCATACATGTAACCTTTTCCATGATAAATTCCCTGGTGCACTCGTTCTGTAAATGTCTTTGCGCGCTTTGGGAAATTCTTAAACAGCGTAAAACGCAGACCAAGAAGTACCATGATAAATACAAACCAAATTACCACCCCTACAAAAACACTTCCACTCAGCTTCCACACTCCATGCTTCTAGCGGGAGAAAATGTTTCCAGCGGTAAATCAAACAGCGCATGCCAGATCCTTTCAACCTCGATATCAGGAAGAGGCTCACCGCTGAACGCATTTATCGCAGAAACTATTGTTTTGGCGCCAATTCATTTTCACGCACGATTCACGCGATTTATTATTCTACTTTCCAAAAAATATTTTTAACAACATCGAGGAGAACGAACTATTTTTACTTGATATTTTCTTCCTCAAGCGTGTCTTATCCTGGCATGTCTCTTGGGAGACGATCTGACAGGTACTAGTTCTCAAAATTATTTGATTTTTTTGTTTGCACATGAGTAATCGATGCTGTTGTTGTTAATATGAACGAGCTTTGTTGTTTCGTTGAATATTTCGTCAAAAACTATCGTGTTGAAGAATAATCATTTACAATACAATTATTTTATCATGTAAGCACTTTCACTTGTTTAGCTTCCATGGCATGTGGGACAGACTGAATTAATATTTCTGACAAATTTATGCGTAAAAATGATCTTAAAATTGCATGCATGTTTACCTCCACGATCTGTTGCCTGTGTTTCGATCATTAAACAGACTTAATGGTAATTTAGTTTAGTTTTATGGTGGGTAATGTCGTTGTAATGTCTCTTCGCCGTAGAGTACGCAAAAAAGTTGATTATTCCAAGTTTTGTGAAGAAGAAGGTGAAAGCACAAATAATAGCGACGGTGAGTCTTACATTTTTTTGTAAAAATTGTTCCTAATCAAACTTCATTTTATGAACAAAGTGAAGCCCCATGCTAAATTATCTACTATTCTCAATTTCCGTTAGTAATATAATACCCATTAGTAGGATTTGCTGTAGAAATTAAGCTTAATAGTAATGAAACATTAATTATTTAGTAAGTGAAAGTATCATTGGACTAATAGCACATAAGTGTGTTGACATCAGTCCTATAAATCTCAACACTGAGCCTGGTTGTTGAAAATAAGTCTTTGCATTTTACATTGTTTATGTGTGAGTATTTTTTCCCCCTTTACTGCTCTTGGGAGTCGATATTTATTATTGTGACACAGTTTCACAGATATTTTATTACATTTCCAAAAGTGGGGTTGATTTACTAAAACTTTTACAAGTGTAATTTACAAGTGAAGCTATTGTTTCTGAGTCCGAACACAATATAGCCACTTGTACACTTGAAAATTACGCTTGTCAAAGTTCTATTAAATTGACCCCGGGACTAACTTGGGAAATTTGTTCATCTGATGTAAACTTACATAATGGCTAATTTGGATTATAATAATAAGTCAATATTCAGTGTATCAAAAACAAAAGTGAATTTAACAACGATAATTAAAGGCCACAGAGCAAGTAAACAAACACAGATCATGAGATAAGCAGTGGTATCTTCTGCTTGTCTCATGACTGGGCACATGAAGGGTAACTGGACCCAGCACTTATAACTGCTCCCCATCCCTAAAAACAGTTTTTTGCTATTATAACAGGGCTGGCTATGTTCATTTTTGACAAAAAGGTTTCCAGTCTACAGTCAACTCTCATCTTGTAGACACCTCACTATCATGGACATCCCGCTAATACAGACAGCTGCTAAATCCTCGGCAAAAAATTACAGACATTTGACTGAAACAAACTCCCACTATTAAGGACTCTTGCTGTTACAGACTTACGGACACCTCTCTCGGGCCCGACAGCTCAATTATATTGTTCTAACTCTTGTTATAATTGACAGCAATCAGCATCTTTTGACATTTAGGCATAATTATCTCAAATTATAATTTATTTCTTCCCCTTTTTCACTTCATCTCTGTCCTTTTGCTTGAAAAGTGAACACTCCAATTCCCATTTCACATGATCCTTCTAAAAAACTACTGTACTTACTTGCAAAAAGCAAGCATGGTCTACTTAATGTACATAAAGTGGATTTTCTAGTACTGTACTTTCTGGTTTTTGTGTTACTAGAATTTTTTTATATTGTACATTTTTTAATGAACAAAATTTAAAAATGTAAGTCCTCTAATATCAAGAATTTTTTTCGCACCACATTATTACAGACTTTTGCTATTAGGGACACTCAACTGCAGTCCCAAGGGTGTCCACAATAATGGAAGTTGATTGTATAAGGCTTTGCACCGGCAGATTTCCACTCAGACAGATAAGCCCCTTGAAATACTCATTGTTCCCTCAAACATGAAAAACACGCCAATTACATGGAGGCTACTGTAAAAAGCTGTCTTAACAAAAATGCCTCTATGACCTCACAGCGTGTGTTGGTATTCAGGGATTCTCTTCAATTGCAAATAAAACGAGTCACCGTGTTTTTTCTCTATATAAACACTTGGTCATAGCAAGAGAATCAGAGCATGGACAGGCACTGTCATCAGCTCTTGGTTCATCTAAAGGGGTCGACTTTTTTCTCCTACTAATGCTCACGAAAGTTGGCTTGGCCGGGATGGTGACCCTCTTTCCCGGGGCAGCTTTCTGAATTTTCCAAATAAATGAGGACTAATTTACATGCATCAGAACTAATTTTATTGTCGTAATTGCTATAGATGATTTCCAGAATGACACTGGACCAGCTCCTGTAAAGAAGGCTAAGACCGCAACAAAGACAAAAGCAAAAACAAAACAAGAAGTCACTAAAAGTAAAACTAAAGATTCAGGGAATTTAAAAAGAAAAGAAAGGTACAGTTTAATTTCTGAGTTGAATTTTATGTTTCAAGGGATCAGGGTGTCTTTGTCTGGGAGAAGATAAGATTGTAAATCTTACATTCCTTAGATTTGTTGTGACAAAAAAGCCTGAAAATAAATTTTTAGTGTGTTAAGGTGAACCTGCAAGAACATGGTGGGCCTTGTATGTTTACAGGAAAACCACTTGCTAGGTACCCTGTGAGCAGAAGCCCAGGACTGCAAATTACAGGCCGTCATCAGACATTGGCCGACTAAAATTTGCTAGTGTCTGACGAATTCAGAGCAGGGTTATTTAAAGTGCAGTAACCCGCTTTTAACCTACAATTAGGGTCAACTTATCTTAAGTCAAGTTTTTTTAGAGGCAATAAATAACATTAACAAGGTCTTTTCCTTACCCATCCCTTGGTTAACAATGAGCTTCTGGAATTGTTTATGAATCATAAGTTTTGATCTGAGTAAGCACTGGGCCACTATTTTTTTTTCAATGTGACCAGGGAAAACAAAACAGTGGAATCCCCAATTTTTTGAACCCCCAAGGAAAAGCAGAGTGGTTTGAATTATCAGAAGCTTTGAAAAGTCAAGGGGGAAATATAGTGTGTGTCCTGTGACTGGTCAAAAGGGAAATCAGGTTTTAAGTGGACCCGGTTCAAATGGTCGGGAATTTAGAGTCACCAAGGGTTAAAAAAAAACTCAGGATTCGTAGGCATACTAATAGGGCTACACTTATTGGCACCTGGCAAATTTCTTTTACTTTTGGATTACTCCTACAAAATCTCTGCCTTTGCACAAAACCTATATGCTGGGCAATAAAGCTTTTGGACGCCCTAAGAACTCTTTATACACCAAACTTCTGTACTAGTATTGTACAAAACTTGCATTGTACAGTGTACAAAATGACTGTACGAGCTAAACTCAAACATCTTTTCACTGCAGATTATCTCGAGATGAAAAGCTTTATCAAAAAGATTTAGAGGCAGCACTGCAGGCTTCAATAAGAGAGTCACAGATGTCATCTGCTGGAAATGACAGTAGTAGCAATGCAAATGATGAAGGGGAAGGTGACATTTCAGATGAGGAGGATTTGCGGCCATCCAAACCAAAGAAAGCTCGATTACTCCCTTCTTCTGATACAGAAGATGACGACAAAGAAAATACTGGGTACGATAAATATTGTACCATAATCATTCTCTCTAACAATTTTTTACCACCTCCCTCTCTCAAGGCCCCACTTTTTCCTTGCCCCTGTTTCAACAGTCAAATATAATTTTAGTAGCCCACCCCTTTTGAATAACCCCCCCCCCCCCTCTTATAGCGCACAGTTGATTTGTTTCACTAAACAGTCACTTAATTATTTGAAAAGGCTGTAAGGCTACAATACAGGGGCACCCAACAAGAACATAGTTCAAAACCTTTTAAACATAGCATTGTTGAACGTATTTTAGTATTTAAACGGTAGATATGGGCATATTTTTATCCCCTAAAAATTTTTCATCTGTTCAGATTTCCTTGCTGAGAGTCTAGTGATCCGAAAATTGTAGGGATCAAAAGTTACCTTTTCGAAAATTTTAGCCAAAAAAAAAAAAAGGTTCGAAAAAATTCTCGCGACTTTTTAGGGTAAAACCCCTTAAAAATGGGCAATTATACCATTTTTTAGATGTTCGACAATCCTAGGAGAGACAAGCAAGCAAGAAATTTTACAACAAATGTTCCGAAAACTCTAGACCTCAAATCGTCTTCCGAACAGATATTTTCCAAAAATTGTCGTTGGGTGCCCCTGACAATATTCCTGTAGAGTTATGAAGATGATATCAGACAAGCAACAGAGGACAAGAAACAGTTTCAATGCCTTAGTGTAGTCGTGAATAACAAAACTGGGCCATTAGCTGTGGTCACACTACAGCTTTTTACCTAGGTAAACTCACCTTGTTGACAGTTAACCAAGGGAAACTTAATTTTTCAAGTGTGACCCATTTTTCCCTAGGTAACTTACCTTAGGGAAATTTTATCGTCTGGTGCTTGGATGTGTCTCTAGAACAATAGAGTTTCCCTTGACAGCTACCCCTAAGGGATAGCTAGGGAAAAATAAAGTACTGAGGTTGCTAACCAATAGACACTCGGCGGCGAAGGTCTTGACGACAGAACTAAACATACCTCACATTGTGAAAGAATTTAGGGGGGGCATGTGTCGTCTGCATCTTCCCCTTGATCATTGAATTAGCATAAGAAATGACAGTGAGATAAAAAGACAAATGCATCTTTGATCGGCTAGATCCGGAAGAATCTTGCCTTCTTGAATTTACGCACCAAAAATTCAGATGTGGTGAAAACCTTGGGAGTCGATTTCAGTAGTGCGACCTTCCCCAAATTTTTTTACACCTAGGTAAAATGAAACCCAAGACGAATTTACCTCAGGAAATTTTTGACGAATTTGCCCCAGGTAAATTTGTTTTACCTTGTTAAAAGTCTGTAGTGTGACCACCATTATTATTTTTTTTTTTAGAATTATACATTGTATATTGACACAAAGACACCTCCTCCCATCATTGACACCATAATGGGGTTAGGGTTGGTTGTTGATTCTCCCCTTTGATCCAAAAGGTTTTTCTCCAGGGAATGCGGTTTTCCCTTCTCCTCAAGAACCAACACTTCCAAATTCCAGGTCGACCAGAAATCAGGTATAATTATTATGAAGAACCACTATGTGGATGTGCTACCTCTAAATCATTATTATATATTTAAATAGCGTGACAGCCCTTTGAGTGGAGTGCCTTTGGGCTTGCCGCAGTCCGTGAGTGCACTTTACTCAAAATAAACTAGCTCCATTAATTATTTCACAGTGATGGTTCTGGAACAAACTTTGAAAGGAAGAGTCCAAGTGAAGAAGATGATAGTAGCAATGATGAGGTGAAACCAAAACAGAGATCAACCATAAACAAAACGGATGCCATGAAGGAAGACCTTGACGAAGAAGTTCAAGGAGAGGAAGTTGAACCCAATCAAGGTTGGTCTCTTGTTTTTGAGACCCACCTGTTTTTTTTGTATTGTAGTAAAAGACCTTTTAAGCTTGTATGTTTTGTTTTCCCATTTCATGTACGTGTTGGTACCCCAGAGAACTGTTTCTTTCAAATGTCATCTTATGCATGTGCATCCACGTGCATATGTATGCATAATTAATAAAAATGCAAATTTCCTAGGCGAACATCATGTGGTCTGAATTGTGAAAACAAAACCTACAAGCTTATTAAAAAGGTTTATTAAAAATTTTTTTCTTTTCTTGTTTAAATCATTGAATAACAAAGACGGTGACTTTGAACTAAGTGAAGAGTTAAGTGATGCAGACAATGAAAGTGATGACCAAGATGACAGCGACTTTAATGAGACAGAGGTAAAGAAGAAATCCAAAGGACGAGGGCGTGGCAAATCAACAAGCTCTCCAGCAAGAGCTGGCGTCAAGCCAAGGACAAGTGTTACAGGTTTGTAGAGGTTATAGGTAATGCATATGAGACAAGGAGGCAAGCTAGTCTGCGAATATATATAGCCATTTCACCTTTCTCCTCGCTGCTTGGAACATTTCGCCAGGAGGAACGTCTGCACCTCAATGACAGAAATTCCATACTGATCTGTCCAGAATCTGGTCAGGAGCCCTGATTGGTCAACGTAGTTGTTACATTGTTTTACCTATTCTTTACCAATAACAGACAAAAGACCACAAGAGTCAAATGTAAATGGGGTCTTAAACATGACGAATCTACTACAAATCAGTCAATATTCCTGGAATATGTTATTCTTTAGAAAAAGCATCTGTGTTTTGCTGGAGCTCGTTTGCAGTAGAACACAAAACTTTACCATAATCAACCAGGAGAAACACAAAATCAAACAAATTTACATCCAGAACCCTGTGACTACCGGATTTATTTTGTAAACATTGATTTACATCATCAGTGTGTGGAATGTCTGTCACTGAGGCGCAGACGTTCCTCCTGGTGAAACGTCCCTAACGCTGAGGAGCAAGGAAAAAGGGCTGTATCCGCAGGCTAGAGGCAGGCATGGTCAGAGCTTAACATGGCTTTTGAAGCATGTGGCACTTAAGAGTATTACCCATCCCAGTCCCTGCACACACACACAACACACATACACTGCACCACCCCCTTTGCCTCCCTCACCCTCCCTCCGGATGAGTGAGGTGCTGGTCAAGCAGAGGATTCTCCATTTATTTATACACCTGTGTGATAAGACAAGTGGAGCAAAACTTTTTTGTCTGCATTCCTAAACCTGATGGTCAGAATTCAACCAGGACTTACTGATACAAAGTTAGAGGTGTTAACCCTTTGTCGGCCATTCCTCCAAGAAGTTCTGATTTCCCTAAATTCCAAAGAATACTGTTAAGACGAATCAAATGGATTGTACTGCTTACAGACAAAATCTGTAGCACAGTGCCGATTCAAAAAATAATAAGATTATTATAGAACATTTGAAACTTTGGGGGATATTAATATTGGTTACTTGTGCCCCTATTGCAACAAGCCTTTTATTTCTCATTTTAAAAACACTGGGTAAAATGTTGCAATAAAAAAATATTAATAAATTTTAATAGTGACTAATTATAATATCAAAATAAATGATGTATTCTGTGGAGAAATTGAAGAGATTTTTGAAACAATGCACAGTTTTTCATTTTTCAAAGTCTTGTCTGAGGCCTTGATTTCCGTTTTTTTTTTTTATTTCAGTAACACCACTCAAGATGCTAAAAGGCAGAGGAAAAAGTAAAGGGCGAGGGTCATCAGCTAACAGCAGCCACTCTGTGTCAAGTTCTGCATCCAATTCACCTTCAAGTATGTCAGTTGAAAATCAGCTTAAATGCCAAACAATGTTATGCTCTCTAAGGGTACAAGCCAATGATAAATACTGTGCTACTAAATTGAACAAGCTGATTTACTCAAGGCGTCATGCTGCATTTAACAATTGAGTTGTAAAACTTTGTTTTGTTGTTATAATTCAAAAAAATTATTATCAGAAAACATCTTCCCCCAGTTTAAATTTAGTAAGGAGAAGCTCAACATACCATTAGGGATGGCCTTAAATTACAGTGGCCTAGGAAAAGTGATAAGAAATCACTTGGTTCATTCTTTCAAGTTGTTTAAGATTAATAGAGAGGAGTGCTGAAAAGTAATTTCATAACAATGATATACTTTAATAATGATCTCATGTGTAAAATTAATGATAGATGCTTAATACTTTTTCTGTTTAAATGCTAACCTTTTCAATTTAACTGCCTTAAATTTATTTTCAGTGTCATAAATAAATTATTATGTGTAACAAAAAAGTCTAAGAATTAGAGCCGGATACATTTGAGACTGAATTAGGTAATTAAAACTTTTGCTCTTATCTCCTGTGTTGACTTCACAGGTTTCTTTTGAAGACATAAGGATAACTGAAAATACCCTTCAAAGAGGTGCGTGATAACTTGTTTTCTTAACACTGAATGAAATAAAATAAAGCATGCCTGCTCTTACCTCAAAAAATAGATGAATAAAAAACGCAAGTGCAAATTTAATTATTTGTATGATTATGCTGTCTCTTAATATTAAGATAATTATATTGGTAATAAAAATAAATGAAAACTAATAACAATATTGATTTGATTGTAAATAGCCTTATAGACTTGATAAAAAAAAGTCTTTTACTTAATATTATAACTCGTACAGATTTTCCATAAAAAAATATTTTGTCAAGAAAAGAAATACCTTGGCCTGCATTGTAGATGTAATTTCACCCCCAGTTGTTATCCTTGCTCTGAGCCCCCAACGGACTCAACAAATTACCAGAAGCACATTTAGAATTTCCCCTTGTCTTGATTGGCAAATTGATGGTATTTTCAACAGGGCAATCATGGCACGTACTCAAATCTTGGCACACAGGTGGGGGCCCAGAACGAGGATTTCTGCATTGTTTTGCAGACAGACTTAACCAGAGTTTAGTGATGAGTAGAGTACTTAAGAGTAATGAATAGAGTACTTATTGCAGTGTACCTCTGCAAAACGACATGCAATGCCTTTTTGAGGAACAAGATTCAGTGCTTTTATTTTGTCCTATTTCTTTTCATCCCTCTTCATCTCCTTCATTCAATGTCTTGCAGTTTCATCAACAAGTAATCAACCTCAACAACACCAACTGAAGACAACATCTACATCACTCCTAAGAAGCAGTCCAGGAATGGGTCTTGGCGGCATTAACATCAAGACTTCTGGCCCCCCAATTCGTATTGGACTTTCACGAAATGTCAGAGTCAAACCACTACATGCTCATGTGTCTGTTCAGCACTGAACTATCTTGAGTTATGCATCACTTGATCTGCTTATATGTATACTTTGTGCTCTGCATAGACATTCTTTTTCATCAGAAAGTGAAGGGGTCAAAAAACCCTCTAAACTGACCAGTTTGAAGCAAGAATTTTCTCCTCGCCATGTATGGACATATCTTGCAAATTGACAGCGTCCTTGTTAGCAGTGGCCTGTGTACAGACATTCCCCATCCAGCAGTAACATACCGGAAGCAACATCATTTCGCTAATTATCAGCTTTCTTCAAGAACTAAAAACAAACTGTTTTTACTGTTTCATTTTCACAAAGAAGTGATCAGGGTTTTTTTTTGCAATTTTATAGCTTCTCTCGTTGTAAAGGGATTCAAGAATCCTTTTCACTCAAGACATTGCTCTCAGAACAATCAAAAGGGCATCAAGAGGGCCCTAAATGTCACATCCTGGGTGCGAGGTATTAGGTTGTGGAAAGCAATTTATGTGCTTTTCAGTGGAAATTTGTAGATCATGAAATCTGGATGTCAGGTCTCCTAAAATGATTGACTTGAAGGAAACCATTTTTTTTATTATTTGAAAGTGAAGTTCTGTAAGGATTTTTAATAAAGTTAATGGAAAGTTTAGAGTTTTGACTGGCTGCCATGTCGGTATAGGGGGTCAATGACAAATGATTGCAGACAACTTTTTACGAGCCAACCACTGCATTTAACTTGTTTATTGAATTAATAATGATGATTATTTACAAGCTCAAAAATAATAAACTCATAAATATGAAATTTTGGACAAAGCTGAAAATAATCGTTTCCTTAAAACTAGCCCAAAGGTATTCAATCACGTCACATTTTAGTAAAAAGCAAATTTAATCAACAATAATAATAGGATTAATTTTACTCTCATGAAAGATAGTAACATTTTTTCACATTTTTATTTTTTTTCACTGGATGGAAATGGCCATAACATTTAAAATAAATTATAATTTAGGGTGTGAAAGTACACACCACACACAAAAGCAATGGGTAGGTAGAAAGTGATTCCAATGGCCTTGTAGAAACCCAAGCACTGTTTATGTTTGCTCAGGGAAGGTTCTGCAGGGTGGGGAGGGTAGGGGAGGTTCTGGACCTTGGGGAAGGTAGGGGAGGTTCTGCAGGGTGGAGAGGGTTCTCTGATACCAATCTTTACAGGGGTAGATTGAAATTTACAGTCAACTGCACCCTAAGGAACTTTCAGCCGAAAAGGATTGAGGTGTTTTCATAAGAATGCTTGTATACATGAGAAATTGTTAGTGCCAAACTTTTCAACAAAATGGAGTTACTGAAAAATAAATTGGCAAACTATTTTTCACGTGGCTAATAATATCATTTTCATATGAATTCGTTTGCATGCAAGACACTTCATGTCTTTAGTGTTACAGTGGTTTTAAAGTAAGTCACGAATTAGCACCCACGCCTTGTGTTGCCTTACACATTTACACTGTTCAGAGAAATTTCTGTCACTCAAGTACAGAACTGAATTTTCTCCATAAAATTTGCTTGGAAAAAGATAGTATATTGGATATTAGGTGGTCACTGATGAGAAGCTTGGAAGTTTAAATGTATCGAAAACAAAATTATTTCTCATACCACGGAAAAGCAAAGCTGGAGAGAATGAATAAAATGTTCAACCATTTTAACCATGTCTTCATGTTACATGTCTTTTGCACTTACCATAATTATAAACAACTCTCCAAGTTGTGATCATTTTGGCTGCCATGGCACCTTAAATTTTGGAGCTGGCGACTTGACTTGTAAAAACCACTCCCTAAATCAAAAGAGTTGGTTGCCAAATGGCGACTGAGCAAAAAATTTAACTTGGAGGGTTGTATAACACTAATAAAATACCAGATGATCTGAGCTTACAAGTCAAAACGACATCTTCATACACGAAAATAACATGTTATCTTCACACATAAAAAGATCATGTCTTAAATTCAATGCAAAAAAATATTTAAGTAAAATGGTTTGGTGAAATTGGTGTTTCAGTAAAATACCAGTGAAAGAAGCCGTTTATCCGTTCGACCTCATCCGTTCGAAAATCTTAATTAGCCGTTCATCCATTTACGGTATCCGTTTCGACACCTTGCCTAACCGTTCGTTGCCCGTTCGCTTGCCGTTCCGTTCAGCGTTCGGAACGTTATCGCGTGAGAGGTCACACATTTTCATACGTGAAAATAACACGTTATCTTCACATGTAAAAAGATCACAATTTCACAACAAAAAAGTATTTAAGTGAAATTGGTGTTTGTATCATAAATAGAACATAACAAATGGCTCCTTGGAGAGACAAAATTTCTCTTCTCACGTTGAAAAAAATATTTATTCACGAGTGAGAGTGCAACGAACTAGTAAAAAACTTTTCAAAACTTGCAGCGAAAATTTCTGTATCTCGGCACAGTCATATAATATCCTCTATATCCTGCTACCCCTGCTAAAAGAATAGAAAAAAAAACAGAAAGAAAATTCTGAGCAGCTGTTTATCCTGTTACGTATAGCTTTTAATATTATCAAACATGCAGGAAACCTAAGAATAAAAACAAGTTTAGTTACACTTAGCAATCTCACATATACAAGCTTTATTCATCATTGTCTATGAAAGTGCTGGGCATTTTTCCATCCAACTATGTCCATTTGCCTTTCACATTATTGTCTGTTGATTCACCGCTTCAGTAAGCCTGCATTGCCTTTTAAAGACTTGCAGATATTCCAGCATTATATTACAAACTACCAGCAGGGTATTAATGATGGCAACTTCTGATAGTTATTGTCTGCGCCAAAAAGCATAACACCAAGAGCACAAATACACCCAAAAACAAAATAGACTTGAAGGTCATGTTTCTTTCGTAGCTCCTGGAAGTACTCAACGACAGACTCCTACAAAGAAATAAAATACTGGTTAGTAAATAATTGCAGAAAAGATACAGTCAACTCTCTCTTAACGGACACCTAGAGTTGGTCCCTGCCTTTCTTTACTCCCTTTTATAAGACGGACACCTCTCTAAGATGGACACTTAGTGCCAGTCCCAAAGGTGTCCATCTGGAGAAAACTGACTGTACTGAACAAGCTTGACTTTAAATGTAGCTGGTCAAACTTGAAGTTTGAAGTAGGGTATCTGCTTAACTGTACAAGCCTCCCCCACACAAGTGTCACATTTGCCATGCAATTTGCATAACATACTCTGAAGATCATTACGGGCCACTGTTGCACATTAGCAGCCATTATAATTTCCTTGCATACAACCCTAATCAATACTTTTTTATTAGAAATGTTGTCAATTAAGTTCCACGCATGGTGATCACCCTATTTTTCATACCAAAGATATTTTTAGCAGTTTTGTTGGCATTCCATCCTTGAGAGCCCCATTGCTCCCACCTCCCCTCCCCCAAAAAAATATCCTGCCACTTATAAGCTCACCAAGTTATAAGCCTATCTATCTGTAAACAAAAAATACATCCGATTCATCAGCCCCCAGATATAAGGTTAAGTCCCTTTCAACTGTGTTCCAAATGTACAGAAATGAATTTGATTTATGACCTTTTTAGGCTCGATTTCCACCGTCTCCCGTGTCCGGTCTTTGATCCTCCCGAAGAGAGCGGCTGGGCGTGACCCGTTGACCTTGTCTGTGACATAATTGGAAAATTGATAATTCTGGCGTCTCCGATATCACTGGAAGTGAAACTGGTCTCAATTTTCTTATTTATTTGGCTCAAAATTACGTCAAGCGTTCCCTTACCCACCCAAATGACTTCGAAAATAGTTTTTCAGTACATTTCCTACATTTTGAAAAAGATTCTTGGTACATTTCTGTACATGGCGACATGTAGTTAATTTTCTTTGATCTTGAATATTGGTTACGTCTTGGTGGGTCGAACTGACTGATTCTTGAAGCGGAGCAAATTAAATGCAAAGTTTCTGATTTGCCAGGCAGGATTTCCACCGTATTGAATGTTCCTCTGTCAAGTGTAAATGTGGACGGTTACATCTGTAACGAGCATGATTATCGAGACCTAAAAGCGCCTTGAAAAGATCCCGGCGATGCAAAATCTCTCCAACCACAATCATTCACAACAAACAACAATCACAAAGCGTTGTTTTCCTTCGGACTCTAGAATTTCGCCTATGTTATGCGCCCGTCGAAATCGCCTCGCGATCGATGGATCAAGGAAGCAGGGAAGGAAGGACTTTCTGTTTTGATGTGATAATTTCTGCAACAATCTTTGCCAGGCGAAAATCTGCAGGCAGTAACATGATTGGCTTAAACCAACAAAGGAAATCGCGCGTCAGCCGCTCTTTCGAGGGGATGAGTGTGGGCTCATTTTCCCGAACAGCGGCTGGTGTCGAGCCTAGACCTTTTTGCAGCTTAATTAAAAACCAGTCCATGAAAAACGTATTTTTGATTAGCATCGCTATAGCTTATTTCAAAGTGCTTTTTCCATTCTGGCTACAAGCCCTCCTGGGATACAAGACCCTCCATTTATAAAGCCACATGGCTAATAAAACCCCTTACAAATAATTTTATGTATGAGCCTAGGGCTTTAAAAGCGGCAGTTCATGGTATACAATGTAAAGAAGATCCTTACCCATCCTCCCTTGCTCAAAGATCCACTTTGCAAGTCTGTCTTTAATAAACTGTACAACCCACTCGATGATCATTTTGATAAGCGGGTTTCATTAATCACCTGTACAGCTAATTTATAGCCAAAGTAGAACAGTGTCACTATTCTACCCCAGTTCACTTTGCCATCACTAAATATCTGTGCTGCAACCTGAAGAAAGGTATCAAAGGCAGTGTCTTTGAAACTTGCACCTGAGATATCAGATTATTGAGGGATGTATCATTGGACAAGCGATCGCCAATATCCCGTATGACATGTACCACGTCTTTGTTAATTTTCTTCTGATTCTCGCTGAGTTCTTGTGGAACAGGTAAGCCATCAGCTCGGAAGCACTCACTCAGAAAGGTACTGACAACAGCTGGTGCCTGGCCTGATACTTCATCAACACTGCTGGCTCTCTGAAGTGTTGGCCTTTCTTCTCTACCCCCATCCTCATCATCAGCTCTTCTAGAACTGCTACCAGGAGCCATTTTAAATGGATCCACTCTGAAGAGAGGTTCACAGAACAATTCACTGATCTGTGATAAAACTTAGGTGGTATGGATTGTATCAAACCCACATGGCAAAATTAACAAATGGTAAACAGCTCAGCATGTACTATTGAGTCAAAGTTGCATGCAGGAGGTTTCTGAGTACAAAGAAGTGTAAGAGTCGCTCAATTCAAAGTGATGGCAGTGTAACTCTGGCTTCTTAAGTGTTTAGCAATCCACCTAAGTGCAAGTAGATTTTGATAGTACACACTGAGCAGTTTAGCATTTGTATAATCAAAAGAGAACAATTTTTTAATGTTGCTCACAGATAGCAGGGGAATGATCGATGTGTGTTATGGCAATCTGCTTGCACTATGGGGTGTGCACATGATTCTTTCCAAATTCTATTCTTTTCGAAAAAATTGTTTTGCCAAATAACTGGTTCTCCATCTCAATTGTATGTTTGCTAATAATGGTCTTTTGTAAACTTTCTTTCAGTATTAAGAGTCTTCTTTCAGTGCAAACCCTGAGGTAAAAAATGTAGTCATGTAGAATCAAAGGTGGTGCATATGACTTTGAGCACACCCTAGCTGTCATCATCAGCTAGGGTGGGCAAATAAAATGAACAGGTAATTTCAAGACCCATCAGGCGCTGGCTTTTTTTTTTGTTATGTCATAAGACAAATGATATTTCTTCAGGTCTTCATTAGTAACACTGTTAACCATTCATTGGGATACACATGTCCACCTTATGGAGGTGAGGGAAAATGTTGAAGAATGGCAGCGACCTACAACTTAACCTTTCATTTAGTATTTAATATTTAATATTTAATATTAATAAGTAGTAAACCCACCAAACTAGGCTCAGTGACTGTGCAGAAAAAACATTACTCACGGATTATTGGGAGGAAATTAACCACGGACAAGAGAATTAATAATAAATACAACTTGAAAGTGAAGTGACCTGAATATTTATCACTGAGTAAGGAAAGCTACATATTTCTGTTCTTAGAAATTACTGCTACAAAGTCAACAATTTTTTGCCACCTTTTTCTCGTTATGTTTGAGTAAATCAAAATCCATTACAGAATAATCACTCAACTCTATGGAGTGAATCAAAAAGCAAAAATAGACTTTGTTCTTCACCAAAAACAACAACAAATTATGAGTGGTACAAGTCTAAAAGAAATTACTTTGGGTGTATGAAAATACTTGGGTTAAACTTTAGGAAGTTTTGGTAATGAGCTGGTACAGTACAAACCAGTGCAAGTCTAAAAGTACTAGATCAATAGATTTCCTTTACTTAACAATGTAAAACCTCTTACAAAGCACTCTTACATGTTTAAAATTTAAAATTATATGCTAAGATGAGCTGAAAAGCATACACCAAATTCCCCTCTCTTCTGCAAAGATCAAATAGTTTAATTTTACGTTTTGCTTGGCTAGAACTAATGAATTGTTTTATTCAAAGAGGTCTTTGCACCAACAAAAAAATGATCATCAAAGGGTCCCATAATAGATTAGAAATGAGTCGTTCCTATAATTACATGTAGCTGATCTATTAAAAGGTCGTTAGGTTTCCTAAATAAAACCCAGTCCTCATGTCATGAACAAGTCTGCTAGCACCTGCCCCACATTGTTGGAATTCACAACCAATGTTCTTAACTACTGTTTTGCTATGATATTGAGACAAAAACTATTCAATTTACCTTCATGTTGTTGTTGGTTAATGTATTTTTTCATTTACTGCCCTTCAAATTCATAGCCATAACAAGATTTTGATTTGCCATTCTGAAATATTTTGATTTGCCATTTTAAAATTTTCCTTACAAAACAAACAAACTGATTGTTTATACTCTAGATAATACAGTTGAAGTCTTAAAGAGACCTTTATTGACGCTGTCTCGCCGACTGGAGGGCCACAATATTTATCAACTTGACACTTAGATTTACAAGAAAGTTTGAACAGATAGTCGTATACTGATCGACAAATTTTGGCCAGGATGCCAACATTTGGAGTCTGGGACCCCTAGACAGACTTGACGCATCAAAGATTTGCGCAACAGGACAAGAATAAGGGAGAAGCTTAAAAAGATGCTTCATTCAGTGAATAAAAACTTAGAGTTGATTTTCAATAGAAGAATGAGCTCTCAGATGAAATCTTTGCTATGTGTTAACAATCGAGTTTGAATTGCAATAAAATACAAAAAACTGTACCAGCTCTTCGTTGAATTCCAGCAGGCCTTCGTTGACGTTTTCAATTTGGAGGTCGCGTGCCGTTTACGACTAACCACAACAAAGTTTCTTTTCATTAAGAAAATTTTATCCAGGATTTCTAATTCATTCAAAGGAATTTGAAAAACAAAAACTTTCTCATCTTGCCTCAACACTGCGAGACATGTTTGGAAATCAGGTTCAGCGGCCAGCAAGAATTTAGTGAGTTAAATATATTTCTCGTGAAATTACCCTCTTGGATATTTTTAACGGTGTAAATTTTCTACTCACCACAACAAGTGAACAAGCGTTTTGTCCCTTGAAATCCTTATTTCCCCGTCTTTTTGCACCAGAGAAACGTATTCTCCTCTTCTCTGATTCCCAAATTTTGGCGAAATATACTTGATCAGAACGATGGTGGTTGAGACTGATCGTATCGATCAATTCTTCTGCGATAAAACAATCTATTTCATTGGACGAGGGAATAATACAGCTATTTTGATCGATTTGCTTCTTGGTGGATGATGTAATCGAGTGACGCGCCAGTTTTTAAAGTTTCCCCGGACTTCATTGTTCCGGCCTAAAATGTTTTGCCGCGCGCGAAATTGAAGAGACTGAAAAAACACAACTAAGTCCTTTTCACCGATATCATTTTCG